TGTTTTATAGCCGGAATGTTGTATTATATTTTCATACCCTGAACAGAGTATATTTGCTACGATGTTTGTAACACCCAGAAGAAAACATCGGAGACCTATAAAATAATAGGTGAACCAAAGAGAGGTACTTTTTTCAAAAGCTATTTTTTGACAGATCACGCGTGTTTTGTTCTGTATTGTTTGGCATTTCATCACGGAAAGACTTACGCCTGACCTACGTTTACAAATCGTTCATCTTTATTACGAAACTTTACGATCTGTAAAGAATGTGTTTCGCGCACTTCGCTCAACTTATGGTCAACATAATCGGCCTACTCAGCACGATCACACATCTATAAACCCATCATCCATTATTAGATAATATTCGAGAGTGTACACGAAGACCGTGGAGAGTCGATTCGGCGCCGTAAGCAGCAACTGGGACAGAGGTATGGAAACACTTGGCGCATTTAACGTCGAGATCTTAAATTGAAAGCGTTAAACATACAGTTTGTGTAAGAACTGAAGCCGCTCGTTTTCGAGCCAAGTTTTGTTCAGCGATGAGGTCCATTTCCGGCTCAATGGGTATTTAAAGAAGCAAAATTGCCGCATTTGGGACGAAGAGCAACCTGAAGATATTCAATAGCTGTCATTTCATCCAGAAAAAACAACGGTTTGGAGTGGTTTATGGGACGGTGGAATCATCGGTCAATATTTCTTCAAAAATTATGCCGGTGAAAACGTAACCGTCAATGGCAACCGTTATCGCACCATGATAACCGCCTATTTGATGCCTGAAGTTTAAGATCGTGATCGGCGACATTTGGTTTTAACAAGACAGCACCACTTCCCACACATCGCATCAGTCGATGGATTTATTGAGAGAACACTCGGTGAGGCGATAATTTCACGTTTTGGGCCGGTCGATTGGGCGCCAAGATTGTGTAATATCACACAATTAGACTTTTTCCTGTGGGAGAAAAACATCACGCGTGTCATTTGCCAGTTAACATTAGAAATGATCGAACGAACGAAAATGAAGAAAGTATTTAGATCGGATGACTATAGCATATAGCACTGATCGATCCAAATCCAGTCCTTACATGGAAAACTTTTTATTTGACAAGATAGCTTCACGAAATTTGGCACGGTTCATATCGGATATATAGCTGCCATACAAACTGATCAATTAAAATCAAGATAAAGATCTTTTTTACCCTAAGAAATGTATCTTCTTTTGAAGGAATATTATAGCTTCGGTGCAGCCGTAGTTAACGTTTTTTCATGTTATACACTAGGTATATATTACATATTTGTAAGAGAGCGGTAGTGAACAATTTCAGAGATTTCTGTTTTACTTTTGAATCGAATAAGCACTTGCCTAATAATACCAAATGTATCTCTATTTGAATGCACGTCGGAAGTACGAATGTAGTGGACTAAAAGTGAAACAAATTTAATAACCAGCAATTCTTTCACTCATTTGTAACGCACCTAAAAAGTTCAAAGCAAAATCCCCTTTCACTTTTATATTTATACAAAACGGTAATTGAAGAAGTCATTAATGGCTTATGGTTTTGCAAGGTAAATAAAAGATTTAAATAGCATATAACTTTGCTTTGTGAATCGAAAGTTTTTTAAGTATAGTGTTCATAACTAATTAAAAATAAATATTAGGTACTAGTATTAGATATTAATATAATATTACAAAGAACTAAAGAAATGCTTTAATTACTATTTTATAAATATTACAATACAATGGTAACATTTTGAAAAACTCATGGATTGTCTTAGCGATTTTTTACAATGCAGAGCAAATCTGCAGCAAAGAGTATTCTTGTAATCAGAACGATTGAACGGCGGCGTTCCTGAAAAATCCTTTAAATTGATAAATTTAACGGGGAATGGAGAATTTTACTTGGATCGGAATTGAAGGGACCCCTGCGATGTGTTCTATAACTTCTCAACCGCCTGAAAACAACTAAAATTTTAATTAGATTCTGACTCTATAGCAACTTTTCCCCAAAACGAGCGCTAATTTCCTGTTATTATTTACGATCAGATATACAATATGCAATATAAAACTATAAACATGTAAGACAATGAAGCATTTGCTGTCTACTTATAAACTTACATAAGAGTATTAATGTGTTGATCATATGTTGAAATATTTTTATGCACTTGAAATCCTGTAACCGGCACAGCCAACGCAAATCAATGACAACAGACCAATTGAAAATAGTAGCAACCATACTTGGATTAGGTAGTGCATAGTAACTGACCCGCCAATTTTCTTTGACTGGCGAAACAGTTCTTTGCGTCCTCCTCGAACCAGCCAGTTTAAGCTCAACACCGGTTATAGTCTATTTACGAAGCACATTCTATATAAGTGTGTCTATCGTTTGATTCAAATATGCTAACGTTGTCAACAGTTGTTCAACCGGTCATTCTATGGCCTAATTCAAATCGGACAGACAAAGTAACAATCCTTTTTGAAGACAATGTCGCTTTTAATACAGCATTTCTGCGCGTTTCGCCATATATAGTCAATGCAATTATGTTCTTCTCGTGGCATACTAACACTACAAGGTGCGTTCCAAAGTAAATAGTATAAAAATAACAAAGTAAACTCTAGTGTCAACTAATGCGTTAGAATCTGCTATCCCTTATCGACTTCCAGTAAACATTTTATGACATTTCATTTATTGGAAGTGAAGTTATTGCGTTTTAAGTGTTAGTATGTTTTTGTCATCGGTGCGAAAATGAGCTTCGAACAAAGAGCCAACATTAAATTTTGTTTTAAAATTGATAAAACTTTTACCGAAACGTTTCAATTGATGAAGCAAGTTTATGGCGATGATTGCCTATCCCGTAGCAGAGTGCACGAGTGGTTTCAACGTTTTCAAAGTGGTCGTGAGGACATAAATGACGATGAACATTAGGGCCAACCAAAATCCGTGATTACCGAAAATTCCATCGAAACTGTGTGTGAATTCATAAAAAATCAGCCGAAATCATCATTGAAATTCATGAAAATTGAATTGAACATCTCCAAAACATCGATCTATCACATTTTGACAGAACCTTTGGGCTTACAAAAGGTGTGTGCACGGTTTGTTCCGCACAAATTGACTGACGACCAAAATCTGCTCAGAATTCAACATTCGAAGGGCATCATTAAAGAGGCAAAAAAAACCCGAATTTCTTTTACAAGATTGTGGCTGGTGACGAAACGTGGTGTTTTCAATATGAAATGAAACGCCAGAGTGCTGAATGGAAGGCGCCGGAAGAGCCCCAAAAAATCGCGCCTGGAGAAGTCAAAAGTGAAGACAATGCTGATTTGTTTTTATGATTCCAAGGGTATTGTACACAAAGAATTTATTCCACCCGCCAAAACGTTAATGCGGTATTCTACCTTGGAGTTTTGAAGCGTTTGGTACGCCGTATTCGGCCCGAATTTCGCGAAGATGGAAGTTGGCGTTTGTTGCACGATGATGCGTCGTCTCATCGATCGACGCTTGTGGCCGATTATTTGACCAAAAATCACATTTTAACAATCAACCACTCCCCGTATCCACCTGATATGGCACCGTGCGACTTGTACCTTTTCGGAAAAATGCATTTACCGATGAAAGGAAAGCGTTATGCAGACGTGAAGGCCATTTAAAAGGCTTGCACCGGCATACTGGCGGCTATACCGGGCAACGAGCTAAAACACTCGTTCGAAATGCTTTAGGACCATGCAAAAAGCTGTATTAAAGCAGAAAGAGACTATTTTGAATCAAATTTATTGATTTTGCCGATAAAACCATTTGTTCTGTCTTTTTTTTAAAGTCCTGTTTACTTTGGAACGCACTTTGTATCTTAATATTATACTTATAAATAATTAACTTTGTTTTAAGTTAGAACATCAAATAGTCAGTGTTATTTTATTATTCGGTATAATAATGCGACTCGGTTGAAATAAACAATGGCTGACATTCTATATCAATAAATTGAAGTGTGGAATATACTACTTGTATTTGGGTTCCCAAGATATTGTAATTATTTCATACACACTTGTTCGACGTTTGACTGAGCTATTTCTCTTCTATGTTCCGAATACATACATCATCGAAGATTTTGCTATTCTTCTAAAATTCGTTCATCTTAACTTCCTTGCCTAAACTACTTTCAAAATAACGACTGCATAACTCAGGTGAGTGTTCTTCAACATTTTCTGTTGAATTTTCACGTTCACGTTAGAGATATTGAAACTTAAGAACTTTTACTATCAATTTGGAATTGTAGTTTCCCGAGATTTGCATATAATTTTTCTCATATTTGAATATGTATGTATATGTACCCCATAAAGTATATACATACATATGTATGTAGAATAAATCAACACCGTTACGAGCTAGTCGATTTATACATGTCCGTCTGGATATACTCGGACTAGTCCCTCAGTTTTTGGGATATCGACCTAAAAGTTTATTTTCTCCCCAAGAAGCTGCTCATTTCTAGGCAACGATATCAGACCACTATAAACATAATGTGTCATATAAACTGATCGATCGAAATCAAGTGCTTGTATATTGTTATTTAACAAAATATCTTAACGAAATTCGGCAAGGATTGTTGTTTAATGCAGCGCTACAATCTTCAAACAAATTGCCGCATAAACCGATCCAAATCAAGTTCCTCTATGGGAAATTTTTTTATTTGACAAATTACCTTTACAAAGTTCGGACTGTTACAGCATATACATAGCTGTCATACAAACTTACCGATTAAAATCAAGGTAAAGATCTTTTATACACTATTATAATTTCGGTGCAGCCGAAGTTAACTTTTTTATTGTTTATCTTAAATGCAGCACATAACAAATATGTTCACTGTATTTAACTGACATTTGAATATTCGTTTCACTTATGAAATAGTGAAAATCTGTAAATGTATAATATATACATATACTAATATTTCTCGTTATTTTATACCGATAGAAGTTATCAAAACAATTTCTTAAGAACAACACTTACGGAGCATACAAACGGTACATTATATAAGGGCTTGGACATATATTCTTATTGTGTAGAAAACATCGTAACACATTTAAATCCAAAGCTCCGCTTTTTAAGAGACTTTTTATATCCATTTGATTGAAAATAATAGCAGGCGCCTCTGCAAATGTAAAAATTACACAAATATATTTTATATATATATATTTTACCTATTGCACAAATATAATTTTAAAGTACACTACCTTTGTATACAAAGCAAAAGGTTAGCAGAAATGCTAAGGAGAATTTCATTTCTCAATTTGTATTTGTTTTTATTGCAGTTGTTCAAGAAAAAATATAATATATTTATTTTTTTAATTTCACAACCGTACGTTGATTTCAATTATTTTTGAGAATTTGCCAAATTTGTAAAGCACTGAGACATCTTACTTTTATTATGCACTGACACACTGCTGGTTAGCATTTTTAGTTTATTCCGTTTGCTTGCGTTCCGATTAAATGAGCGCCATCGAATGTTTTCCGCTAACAATATTCCATATTCATTGCTATCACCTGGCCTTTGGAAAGTGTAGTTTTTGTGTGTTACACTTGGTTGCTCACGCTCTTGAGTGGCTGCATTGTGGAAAAAATGCAAGCAGTTTACTTAATAAGTATTGTGTGAGTGGAGGACAATGCACTTGAATTGTAGGAAGCAAGTTTAATAGCATGCGATTTTTATGGGTGACACCTTTGCCAAAGGCGGCCAAGTTCACCGAGTGGCTTCTATAGCTATATAAAACTCAATCGTACAAAGCGATTTGCTTCATTCTTATACTCTCGCAAAATGTTGCAGATAATGCCTGGTAGCAAAAAACAGATGTATCACCAGAGTAAAGAAGTTTTGTTTTACTACCGTTTGTCGGTAATGCCTTAAATTATTAGATATCAAAGGGATCAGTTTGACTAGACGGATTGATTTTACGTTGTCGGTACAACGATGAATAACGAATATATGCAGGTGATAACGACAGTGAAAATGACTTTGGTATTGCATATGAGCGGAATAAGGAAAATCAGATCATAACCACGCCCAATGGCAATAGATGGCGGAAGTACCAAATAGCATTAAGCATTACATCATAAACGTCAAAATCAATTATTGTAGGAATAAAGCAGTTGGCTAATGAGGATATGATCAATAATTTTACAATGGTCATGGTACTGCCCGCTCCTACTTCTCATGGGATACCATTTTGTATACCGTAAGATTATTTTGGTTTAGAAAAGATGAATTTTTAACTTAGTTTTCGTACTCTAATATTTGATGCTTAATAAGACTTATTGTCAATTTTGTTCACCTAACGGTTGTTTGTTCCAGCTAAAAATAATCGAGTTAGATATAGGGTTATACATATACAAATGATCAGGATGACGAGATGAGTTGAAATCCGGGTGACTGTCTGTCCGTCTGTCGGTGCAAGCTGTAACTTGAGTAAAAATTAAGATATATTAATGAAACTTGGTATACAAGTTCGTTGACAAAAAAAGTAAGAACAAGTTCGTAGATGGGCGTAACGTAAAAACGTAAAAACGAAAACGTAAAAAGTGCCATAGTTAAGCTGTCAATTAAGATACAAAAGCTGTCAATTAAGAAAAAAACTTTCAAATTTAGCACAACGAATCACATTATGGAGGGGCACTTGGCCCCGTCTCCTAATAAATTTAAGGTATATATCTTTCACAACAATAAAACTTTATCATCCAAATTTGCACAGGAAAAATATTTTCTCCCTTATTACAACAGTGTGAAAATAGGTGAAATCGGATGATAACCTCCACCCACTCCCCATATAACGATTTTGTTGAAAACTACTAAAAGTGCGATAAACTACTAAAAGTGCGATATCGCCCATATTTAGGTGAAAACCCATATCTCGGGACCTCCTAGACCGATTTCAACCAAGGTAGGTAATATTATTCTGATATTTCTACATTACAGTGCGGAAATAGTCGAAATCAGACAAAAACCAAGCTTGGTTTTTATATGACATAGTATGAATTCCATCTGATACCGAATATGTGGACCCCAGTTCTTTTTGCAAACTTTTTATTGAAAACATCGGTCATCTGATATATTTTAGAAATTTGAAAATAATCCTTTTCTGATAATAGTATGTCTGTACGTCAAAAATAGGTTGAATCGGATCAATAATTCCCTTAGCCCCCATATATCTAATAGAAATATTTTGGAACTTTCGGCAGACTTTATACCGCAAATATCTGTCAAATAGTTATCTTAATGAAATTGAAAAAGCAATGTATCATAAGCAATTTCACCAGCTTTGATCCTGGCAAGTTTCAAGAGTATGAAGTGTTCGGTTACACCCGAAGGAAGGGCCTTACTTATTCTCCCTTAAACGTATTACTTATTTTCTCTTAAATGTATGTCTTCAGTAATACTCACTTAGTATACAAGCGATATTCCAAGTATTTATATGGACAAATATTTGTGAGCACCAAACGACAGTGTAATGGATTTATATTAAAATTTCCATTTCGCAATAAAAACTTCACAGTTCCCTGCTCGAGAAACCAAAGTTTAACTGTAAAATATTTTAATATACGTATGTGTATTACACAAACCCACTAATTTTATACAATATAATTATATTTTTAACCTTTGCTTAGCATGCAACAGCAGCAACACAATAGTAGTAGTTTATTGTAAAAGCCAAACATTAGTAATTTTTTTAAGCGTGATTTTGGTTTAAATTACTTTCCAGAACCAAGATGATTTACACACTTCTTTCCGTATTTGTGTCAATTATAAGATTGAATGCGCGTAAAACAAACATTTTCTTCAAGTTTTTAGAAACGATTTTATTTTAATTTTATTTTATTTTTTACCGTTAAAGCCAATTTTTGTTTATATCATATATACGGCTGAGAACGTCTGCGTCATGATCTTAGTGTGAATAGCTCAATGTTAACTGTGGATATTAGCGGTGACGAAGGTAGCTTTTAAAGAAGGTGTAATGCATTGCTTTGAAAAATTGCAGGCTTTAAAGACATTGAACATTTTCAATAACCCAAATTACTATATTTAAACAATTGAAATAAGTCTATTCGTAGCAAGTAAGAAAATATTATGCTTAGGCGGAAACGTTTTAGATACTCGTAAAGTTCAACAAGGAAGGAAGGGCTAAGTTCGGATGTAGCCGAACATTTTATACCCTCCAAATTTGCAAGGATCCAAGGCGGGGAAATACTTTCAGGCGTTGGAAAACTTTATATAAAAAATGTTGCGTAAGAATTCAACATGTATTATTCGATGAAATCGAATGGATTACAAACTCACTCACAAAAAATTTATATTAAAATTAAGGCAAATAACTCAAATGTGATATACATATGGAAACTCACCCGAAAGAGCTAAATTTAATATTTATATGAGGTATAAGAGGAAAACATCAACCAGAGAATAGGAAATCAGTACATTAGAATATGAGGTTTAGACCAGGATCTTGATCAATTTAATTGATATTCAATGTAAAACCAACCTTTTTGTTTTTAAATTGTCCACTCAATTTCAATAAAATATCACATATACCATATTGGCCAAAAGAATCGTGAGACGTCAAAATGGATAGAAATCATTGTATCGCTTATATTGGGCCTTGGAGGAAAATCTGGACTGACTGCAATAACGTTTGGCATTACTCAAGTCAACTTTAGAACATATTTTCACGCAATTTCGTGAAGATAATTCATATACTGATTGACGTATTGGGCATAAAGTCTGCTAGACTAACTGAAAATATATACTACATATAATGTGTGATCGGGCACTTCGTGAACCATTTCACTCATTTTCGACATTAAAATATAGTTTATCCAATATTATACGTTCAGTTAATTTTGCTAAGATATCTTACATATTGGCGATAAAGCCAACTGGAAGTTTAAAATTTATATAGGGTATACTAGGGCTAGGGGAAGTATAGACCCGTTGGCATAAGTGCAAGCTATTATCATAAACAAATTTTCTTCGAATTTCAATACTAGACGTCACATATTGACCGATATTTATGCTAAAAAGTCGGCCACTAGCACTGGGGTTTACAAATTCAGTATCAGGTGCCTTCAAAATTTAAGGTCTGGTTTCGATAAATTTTATACGTGAAATGGAGTACCTAAAAGGCACTATTTGTGTAAAGTTTTATTGCAATAACGACATTCACTCGTTTTATTAACTGTAAAATGAAAGAATAAGATTAAACTTAAAATTCTTTTATATGAGAAGAAGGTGTATACCAGATGGCCTTCCTGTGCCGCCCTGACTGTGAAATTTAGTACTTCTGTCGTACATATATACAAGGTGCGTTCCAAAGTAAACAGGACATTGAAAAAAAGACAGAACAAATGGTTTTATCGGCAAAATCAATTAATTTTATTCAAAATAGTCTCCTTCTGCTTTAATACAGCTTTTTGCACGGTCCAAAAGCATGTCGAACGAGTGTTTTAGCTCGTTGCACGGCATGGCCGCCGTATGCCGGTGCAAGCTTTTTGAATGGCCTCCACGTCTGCATAACGCTTTCCTTTCATCGGCAAATGCATTTTTCCGAAAAGGTAGAAGTGGTACGGTGCCATATCAGGTGAATACGGGGAGTGGTTGATTGTTAAAATGTCATTTTTGGTCAAATAATCGGCCACAAGCGTCGATCGATGAGACAGTGCATTATCGTGCAACAAACGCCAACTTCCATCTTCGCGAAATTCGGGCCGAACACGTCGAATACGGCGCACCAAACGCTTCAAAACTCCAAGGTAGAATACCACATTAAAGTTTTGGCCGGGTGGAACAAATTCTTTGTAGACAATACCCTTGGAATCATAAAAACTAATCAGCATTGTCTTCACTTCTCCAGCCGTGATTTTTTGGGTTTCGGTTCATTTCTCATTTTTGTCCTCACGGCCACTTTGAAAACGTTGAAACCACTCGTGCACTCTGCTACGGGATAGGCAATCATCGCCATAAATTTGTTTCATCAATTTTAATGTTTCGGTAAAGGTTTTACCAATTTTAAAACAAAATTTAATGTTGGCTCTTTGTTCGAAGCTCAAAACGGAATAACTTCACTTTCAGTAGATGAAATGTCATGAAATTTTTACTGGAAGTCGATAAAAGATAGCAGATTCTAACGCACTAGTTGACATATAGATGGCGCCACTACAGTTTACTTTGTTATTTTTTTACTGTTTACTTTGGAACGCACCTTGTAGTGGGTTATCGCTTTATTTAGTAGATTTCAACAGAACCGTTATATGGGGCGTGGGGTTATAATTCGATTTCAATTCAATTCAATAGTATAGGGACCACGCTCACTTTTAAAAATATTTCAAATCACAAATATCTCTCTATACTGCGAATCCCTGTATAAAATTACTGTTTTGTATTTAAATTTGGGGTTTGGTTATAGCCCTTCAAAGGTTTTCGGTTATTGGCAGACAGTCACTCTGGTTTTAACACGTCTTGTGGCCCTGATCATTTATATAATATATGTATGTATAACTCTATATCTATCCCGATTAGTGTTACAAACAACAGTTATGTGAACAAAACTATAATTCTCTTTAGCAACATGTTGCGAGATTATATAAATTGTGGGAATTACTTCCAATATTGAGAGTGTCATATTAAAGCTAATCGAACGGATGGATTGAAGAAAATATTTACGATCTATTTTAATGTGCAATTTTTATTAGGTCCAGGCAGCCTACCTATTTTCATTACCATATCTCTATTA